GTAGTAATTAATCCTGTGCATGACAAGGAGGTAGGGGAGGCTTGAAATTAGGTAGAATATTCTGTTCTCCCTAATAACTTTAAATAAATTTAAATCTGGCGAGCTTGAAACTTTTTAGCTATTGCCTGTTCTCTTTGATCGTAGAATATGTATTTTAGACGCATATTTATTAAAGCAATGTTTAAATGTCAAAATAAATTTATTTTAATAAGAGCTTTGTTGGGACAAAAATAACTTTCGTTATACGACCATACAATATACATATGAGAGAATCAAAAACTGATTATGCCTCTGCATCTTTTCTAAGTGTATCAATAAAAATGGAGTGTAATATTTTTATAACTGAGCATTCGGAAAATATTTGCAGGGTAGTTCAGCGTTTAATATAGAAGGGTTAACCAGTACGCCACACTCCCAAAAGTGTCCATGAGTCACAGGATGAAAGTGAATTTAAAGAATCCTAGGCTTTGCCCATTTCACAATTCGGTGATAGAATTGTCGACGAAGCAAATATATATTTTCTGAGGCAATCGACCACAATACTTATTTTTCATTCCATAAGAAGGTTTCCGGGACCAACATTAAATCTATTGCCATGCAATATGCTCACATTGTTTATGGTAGAAGTTCTATTCTAATTATAAGTAGTTTACAAAGTATACAGAAGATTTTCTAAATTATTAAATTTTTTGGTTAAGCCCTAAAAACTAGTCATACAGCTGAATATATACATGCCAGCATTTAGGTTATAGGTTATAATCAACCCAACAGGAATAAGCTACAATTATTCTTGTGACAGCATTCATTTGTGTGGTAAATTTACAGGCAAACAGTGTTCATATAATTAATTTTCCTTTCAGTTCATCACCTTAAACGAAATAGACTAAATACGGATCTTTAATATAATTAATCCTTCATGAGAGCTTAGCTATTTAGCCTATCGAAAGACCCATATCATACCCATATCAATAAAATACTTGAAGATTATTCTATTAACTTGTGACTAAAATGTTGCAATGAAAATATTTTCAAATGTATGCAATTATCCATTCTATACTGAGTTAATAATATTTTGAAGATATAATTTTTGTATAAAGGCTTTGTCTTGCATCAGGAATCGCATGATTCGGAAATCTTTTATTTTATTAAATGTGACTTGTAATTAAGTGATGTCTAGTGGGCCTCCGTCATGATAGGGTTTTAAATACATCTATCTGGATACATTTTAGCTCTAGCTTTGTGGAGAATAGTCATTTGCATCTATTCCATACATTTAAAAGTCCATCAAATAGTTGAATATGTTCTCCGATTCTAAAAAATAAATACTCAATTTATTGATTTTTTATTAAATTGTATTTATTTTCTTAGAGCGAGCTATGCGCTTAAGAAAACCAACTAAAATCTAAATAAAAATGAAGCATCCAAAATATCTATAAAAATTAGGCACTTATATATTATTAACCAGTATATTTATAATCATGCGTATCTGGTAACTGGATTAAAGCGGCTGTTTTGATTGTTTCTGACCTTTTTATAATTGCCACATAAGATGTATTTATTTAAAGGAGCAATAGTTTAAAACAAACCTGATAACCTAGCTCTTTTCGCTTTAGACCTCTTGGTATGCGATTTGCACTAATCATATAAATAAACGGCTGCAGACAAATTATTATAGAGGGGACAGAAAAGAAAATATTAGCAATAAAAATATTTTCTTGTTTAGATATACAAAGGAAATTGATCATACAAAATATCCTAGCTTTAAATTTTGAAAGAGCATTTATGATTATTTTGAAAGTATTTTTATATGTATATATATATATATATAAGGTTCGTTGATAAAATATTAGGTATGTGGACAAAATGCTGAGTTTACTTCCATTTCGAGTAAAAGTGTATGGAGAAGAAAGTAGGAAATCTATCATGCAATAAAGAGAAAGGTAAAATATAATAAAGTCGTTTAAAACATCATTAAATCACAAATTGAAGTCAGGTTCGTTTTTAGATAAATTTTCTAATAAGCTTTAACTTACTCAAGTATGACTACAATTATAATCAAATAGGAGCTAAAAATAAAACTTATGGTCGGAATCGCCAAATGACTTTGGATAAAGTAACATAGAACTCAAGATACATCAAGAGACAAATGATTATTTGATGACACGAAATATTTATACAATGTCTCAATATCCTCTATACTATATTCATATTCATCTATCTTAATTTTAAATATATATATTTATGTACATATATAACGAGATGTATAGCTAAAATTTATAATATATTGTGAGATTGATCTATTTGCACTTACTAATAACGGATTTATATATCTTTCTGCAATATTTCGATTAATAAATTCGATTCTGCTCATTATAAGTAACTGAATTACCATGGTACATCTAGTATCTAAATAAGCTGTCTTAGCGTTTAAAAGTACATAGAATTAACAAGAACAATCGATTTTTGTACTCAAATTATAAATTCTTATAAAATATTATGTTCATTCTATTTGGGCTTTTGAGGCTAAACTCTGAAAGGTTCCTCTAATTTCTTAGCTTTTTGCATATTCTATTCGCAATGTATGGATAAATTGTATCCTAATACTAATACTTGTAAAATTGTTTATCGTCATTTTTTAATAGCCTAATCACTAATTTAATTGTTTTTCATTATCCTTTTTCATTATCTAAGTATGTGTTGTATTCCTATTTTTCGTTATTTTACGAAATTTCACTGACGAATCAACTAATATAGCTCCTAAATTCCTGGATAAGCCGAAGATTAAGCAGGCTGGAAAAAACGTCATCTTTGTATGCCTCTTACAAGGTAATCCGCAGCCCGAGATAAGCTGGTTGAAAGCTGGAGTGGCCATCACTGATGGTGGCCGCTTTAAATTATCCTGCGTGCCAAGCGAGAACACCACTTTCACATTATCCTTAGAGATCAGCCAGTTGACGACTTCAGATGGTGGTGAGTACAATGTCTTGGCCAAAAACAAGTTTGGTGACTCAACGGCAACCATCAATCTAAATATTGGAGCCCCAAAACAGTAGGACTTTTTTTCGACAATTATTTATGACAAATAGTTTTTGTTGTTTGTTATTGAATTTTGTAATTTGGATAGAAACAAAATGAATATGGAATTAAAATTAATAGATCATCTGCACATAATTGGGTACAAAGCAGTCAAAAACTTTCAACAAATTTTTTTAATGACATTGATGCACACCAATGAGCTAACAAATAATTTAAAGAGAAAGTGCATAACCTTTTCTGCTAGTATGTTTTAACGAAATTAAACCGATATACTAAGGAACGAAATCTGTGCTATTTACCTTAATGTTAAAACTCACCCCAATACAAACCACACTCTTGTGATTTGCTTATATATAGTATATACAAAGTAGCAAAGCGTCGGTGTAATCAAAATGAAATGAATAAACAAGTTTTCTTTGTGATTGAGGGAATTCTTTTTTATTTGCCCAAATAATTGGAACTAAACAATAAAACGAGAAGTTACGGAATATGTTTTGGGGTTTTTATAGCCCAGAGGTTATTCAGGCAACAGGATCACTTTTATTTAGGGACAAGTAAGATAAGAAAGTGCCTTGATAATAAAATGAAGATTGTTTCTTTTAAAAAAAGGTATTCATCGTATTCATGGTTACACTTCGATTGCTCGTAGGCGAAATAGTCATTATTGATATTTTTTGTCACTCTGTCACTTTTCTTACTTCGATAAAACGAATAAAGACTTGTATTTGCACAATTGGTAAATATAACATCATAATAATAACTATTTTTTAACATAACTTTAAGGCTAGTTAATTATTTTGTGTTAGGCAAAGCAGCTATTTGAATTGCAGAATCTTTAGTCCTTCGAAATCGCATATTTTACAAGTGACCCAAAGAAATTACTGCTTCATAACGATAAATTAGTTGAATGCATATACACACATCTAGCTTGACCTGGTTAATATATAGCATTTATCCATCCAATTACATTTACTAATAATTATGATAAATCCTTACATTAATTAATTTTTACCCTCTATTGGGTTTTACTGCTGAACAAATTTTCGGCACTCGGTATAAATTAAAAGCGTATTTTGTTCACTTTATACTAGGCCTACAGGAAAGCCTCCAAAATTTCCCGAAAAGCCATCAATTAAGATGGATAAGGAGCGCGGTGAAGTAGTTGTAACTTGCAGATTGGAAGGAAAGCCAAAGCCGGAACTTCTTTGGTTCCTGGGTGATCAGGAAATTAATCAGATCCCTGGAAAACGGTACTGGACGATAGATGATCAACCGGAAGATATTTATCTTATCGAGATGCGCATTGTCTCTCCCAAACCGGAAGATGCTGGGCAGTACAAAATTACGGCAAAAAATAACTTTGGTGAAAGCAATGCAAATATCTCACTCAACTTCCAAGGTAAGGAGAAAATTAATATAGCATTGCAGAATTTTATGTATAATTTGGGCTTGCTTGGAGACCTTCGTAGCCAGGCGTTGACAGAGCATGCATCAGTCAACTTCTTGAATCTATAAAATCTCCAATCATAATTTTGGATCTTAGCATGAATCTTTGTTTTTAACGTATGAATAAAATTATATTTTATAGAACCTTAATAGGTATAGTGCTAAAGTAAGCTGTGTTCATATAAACAAATTCCACAAATTTCAGCACATGTTTGTAGCAACAAACTTTTATTTCTCTTTTAAAATTTGATATATGTGAATCTATAACTTACATTTAGCTTGTGGATAAAAATTTGAGTATATGACTAAAAAGGCAAGCAATTATGTAATATCCCTAGTAGATTGGTGCGGAATTTGAAGGATTATTATTATTTAGCAAAATAATTGCTCGCTCATTCACTAGTTTCTTATAGGATGTTTCAACATGGTGCTTTTAGTGTATTTCAGATTTATTATTTTAGATAAATATTTATCTATGTTCTGCCGAAGGTATTAAATAATGTAAATCTTCCTCAAATACATGAAGATGATTGCTGAGACATATTTATAATAGAGTCTAAAAAATTGTTTTTGGTTAGCACAATCTGGCTGACCGGAAATTAAGCATCCGAAACTAGGCACTTACTAGTCATGTCTATTTTTGGAAGAAAAGTTGAGTTAACGGAAACTTGTCTAATTCTATTATTGGTATTTAAATTTTTTGCACAATTATTGCTTATAGGCCTGTATAAATAGCTCTTTTAATTCAAGAAATCTAGTCTTACCTATCTATATTAGTGACTTTCCCAATATATCTTTAATTCATCTGGTCTAGAATTGTTATAGTATCATCGAAAAGAAGAAATTTTCTTTGGAGATTTTGAAAAGATTCACGGTAGTTAAAGACTCCTGTTATTACTATTGTATAAAATCAATCAATACATATGAATACTTTGTAAAAGTCTGACGTATTATAAATCATAAATATTATTAAAAAAGATGTAAAAAAGACTTTCAGACTATAGCCTAGTATTATGATATTTTGCAATATTCAATCTAATGCAAAGGGCTTATGGTAGAAAGAATCCTGTCTGAATTTATTTCATTTAGGTTCTGCATGCTAGTAATATCCAAATATCTTTACTCACAGTTAGGAAGTTGACGTTATTATCGCTGAAGATGAAGAGAGTCAGAACTATCTATGTCTTTACATAAGGAAAATATGCACCTCGTACAATATGTATGTCTTTAAATGACCTAACTTTACTGTATGTTC